GCCTCATCCTGGGAGCAGATGCGGCGGAGGCGAAGGAATTGGGAATATCGTGATCATCAAGGTATCAGCTTCTGAGCTGGTGAAGGATACAGGAGACAGTTTTAATGGTGCATCTTCTGAGGGGTCTGTGGCTTTGTCCTCAGAGGTGGAGGACGTGTTGGCTAGAGGGGCATATTTCTTCATGCAATGGCTGTGTGGATGCCTTCAAATTTTTTGAGTTCCGCCAAGAGCAACGGCATGTTGGGATTCCCCGTGGTGGAAATGGGAGAGCAGTGCAGTATTTGACAATCATTCTTACTTGAATGGTAAGACATGGAGGTCTCAGCATTACCAAATGAGCAATCGTGGTTCTTTCCCAGTCATGCAAGGATTTGCTTCTCAGAGGGGTGAGCAGATGAATGTCAAGCACCCTAACACCTGTCAAGGCCCTCTCTGGGAATGTAGGTTTCAAAACACAAACAAATAAACTAGGATTTCGTTGAACAATGAAGCAGGCTCGAGGGCAGAATTATCTACACCTGCTCCTATTTGAATACTCACATACTGATTTCTACTGCAGTGAGGCTAAAGAAGGGATTGAGTGAGATGAACACCTGGCACACATGTTGGTGCAAGTAGATAAAAGCTGATGAGGAATCCTGAATTAGTGAGTAGGAAAAGCAGAGGGCGGGAAAGATTGAAAGTTTGGGGGTTTGGTGTGCGTGAGAACCATTCAGGTGTGATGCTGATACATCTGTAATAGTTGTTGATCACAAGAGAGTTGGGTACAGTGGCAAAGTTATAGTGACTGTGAGATAGCAGAGAGAAGATGGTGGCACTTAGCATTGCAGAGAACAGAATATCTTTAACATTCCTCCTGCATCACTGGGCATTCTTCCAGCCCACTGAACAGGGTGATAACTTGGGAACAGTCTAGCAGAGTCTGGTGTCATTATCTCCTCTGGCATTACTGAGGAAAGAGAAGGGCCTTTCTGGCCATCACACCATATATAAAGTTCCTGTCAGCAAAGTAGGGTACCAATTTGCCTCTATCTGCCATCCTTGTCATGTTTCACACACTGGAACCAAGTGCAGAATTTTCTTAACTCCTGAATGACATGGGCATTAGAAAGCCAATTGGTGCAATATAGTCAGAGTGAAAAAATGAGATTTTCAACACTGAGAAATTGGTGTCCTATTTGCAAGCATCAATATCTCATCATACCCAATCTTGCCGGATTTATATGCAATTTGCTATTTTCCCAGGCAGTGGAGAGAAACCAGATGGCAACAATTCTCGACATGAAAGTCTGAATGGGTACCTGGCAGCTGCAACTCAGGGTGCCCATCTTGGCCAATATTTCACGTCATCTTAGAGCAAGCTCCATTGGCACCCTCCATCTACGGAGGTTGGTATTGGCAAAACACCAGCCTCACCACATCACCAAGGCACATGTTGGACTCACTTTTAATACAGTTCAGCACTTCAATATGTTAGAGCTCATTGACACCTTATATTGCAATGTTGTTGCCAGGCTACTTTTTGCACAACATCAGGCACCCATCTCATGCATTGAAACTAAGATCTTAGATTCCTTTTTGGCACTAATTCACATTGAGTCTACTTGGATGCTCAGATCATCTCTACCTTTCCTTGCTTTTCTTTTACCCTTTAGCGTACACAGATAGTTAAGCAATTTGTCATGTTAGGCAACCAAGGCAAACAGTCAGGGGAGATGTCCTTCATCAATCAGGAAAGGTGGTGTGACCTAAGTGAGTAGGAAGTACGGAGGGCAGTTGTTTGGCAGGATCAGCTGGGTGGGAGCCCTTGAGGGAAGATTGTGGATGCAGTATTAACAGTGTTAGACCATGATCTTTAGTGGGAAATGGGTACAATGGCAGATTTACTTTCAGATAGCATAGAGAAGATGATAGACTTACCCTTACTGTGCATTTCTCCAGACAGCGGGCATTGCACCCAACCCAGCTGGCAGCATTTGTCATGGTGCACAACTGATTTTTATACATAGAACCCTCGGCATGAACACAGAAGATCCCAGCACTGACAATCATTTTGCTGTTGCTAAGCACAGGATAGGGTGAGAGTGGCACCATGGAGTTGTGGTGTGTATTTAATGAGGTGAAACAGCGGAGAATTGTGTGAAGTAACTTGCTAGAGCTCACAGCAAGAAACCCTTCATGAAACTTCCCAAAATTGATCCTTATTCGATGTTTGGCATGAGTCAACCCTATGAAGATTTTGCACTCTTTGAACTGGTGCACAATTGGGATTGAAATATTGTACCAGCAGCAGGTAATGTGATGGCAATATAATATAACATAATACTGAAAGGACTCAGCACCAACAAGCACAAGAGCAGTGTAGTGCATACTTACTGAAATGGACATTGTAAGATTGCACAAGAAAACTTGCTTGAGCTCTCAAAGAGAAACCATCCATTAAACACCTCAAAATTGACACTTAGCCAAATTTTGGGGAAATTCAGCCCATGTTTCTACCCATTATACAATGAAAGAATATATTAATCAAGATTCCAGTATCAAGATTTCAGTAAGAAGTTAATCAGATTGAATTGACTTAACTTTGGCTGCACCCTAATCTATTTGATGGTGTCGGTTCTAATTTTAGTAGTTTTCATATATCCACATTTTACGTTTGTAGGTCACCCTCGTAAAGAATTATCAAACCCGTGCAGCAGTGCTGAGCAAAGCAGTACCAAAAGTGGACCCTGCACCAATAGTGCATCCAAAACGCTACCAGAAGGTGAGATGGTTGTTTTTTATGTCCACTCTTTATAAAGCTACTATGCTTATTACTCAATGCTTCTTTCTTTAGTGATGCAGTGTGCTATAACATGGATAAATGTGTGATCTTTGTTTCCACTACAATCCACAACTATGCAATTAAAGTTCCTGTTAAAGAGATCTATGTGTAACATTCAGTAACAACCCAGTACGAGTACATGAATTTGCAGCATCTTTTTGGTTCCTCTGCAGCCTTTCCACAGCCTTTATAACAATTTTGACAGCTTTCCTCTCATCAGTGTAATACAGGAAATTTACTGAAGCACTTGATCCCATGACTTGCACAATTTAAAGATATTACACACTTTACCGATACCGAGGGGCATGATATAATGTGGATAACACAAAGATTGGCCGAGTGGTTGACAGTGAGGAGAAAGTCTTACATTACAAGAGCATATACACAAATTGATCAGGTGGTCAGATGGAATTTAACTCTGATAATTGTGAGATGATGTGCTTTGGAAGAAGTGATGAGGAAGGACTCAATGAATGGTTGGACACCAGGAAGTTCAGAGAAACAAAGGGATATTGGGGTGCTTGTCCACAAATCCCTGAAGATGGCATGAAAGGTTAATGAAGTGGCTAAGAAGGCATATGGGACACTTGCCTTTATCAGTCGAGGCATAGATAGTCAGAGCAGGGAGGTTATGTTGGAGCTGTGCAGAACTTTGGAGTACTGTATGCTGTTCTGGTTACTGCCCTTTAGGAAGATCCTGATTACACCGGAGTGTCTGCAGAGGAGGTTCACCAGGATGTTGCCTGGGATAGAGCACTTTAGCAATGAAGAGGGGCTGGATAAGCACTGGTTGTTTTCTTTGGAGCAGAGAAGGTTGAGGGAGCTCCTGATAGAGGTGTATAAGATTATGAAGGGCGTGGATAGAAAGCAGCTGTTCTCCTTAGGCTCAATATCAAGGTGGCATATTTTTAAGGTGAAAAGCAGGAGGTTTAAGGCGAGTTCAGGAAAATTGTTTTTACCCAGAGAATGATGGGGGTTTGGAATGCACTGCCTGGGAGGGTAGCAGAGAAGGGTAACCTGACAACCTTTAAAATTGCAAATTTAACAGCTCTTGGATCATGTGCTGGAAAGTAGGACCAGTCTAAATGTAGCATAGTTTTGGCAGTACAGAATTGATGGGCTGAAGTGTCTCACAGTTCTGTACTGTATGATTCTACAATTCTATACAGACTTCACAGAATGTTGAGACTTTACCTTCCTCCTGGCTGTCTCTCCCCATTATGTGATTCCAATCCTCCCCTCCTATCCTCTTGTACTATTCTGTAATTCCAGTGCCCAGCCTCCTGTCCTCCCCTCCCATCCCCATAGTCTCTAACCCTGTGTCTAGGCTTCAATAATTGAGGGCTGTTCTCTACCAGCCATGATTTAATCAAAGTTTCTTCTGGATTGTGCTGTTTGTGCAGTGGTAACTCCACTGAAATGAAGCCTGAGGCCCTATTTGGTGACATCTCAAGCCTCAGTATTCAGATGGCAGGTACATATCAAAATTTCCACCCTGTATTCTTTACTTTTACTGTAAATCTGTAGTTCTTGCTGATATTGTAAACTGTCTAATGACCAGACTTGGACAGCTGTTATTCACATTTCAGGCCTGACTGATTCCAACTTCCACATCTGAACTCAGCACAATATAGCATCTGTATCCAGATGCAGTTGTTAGGACTTTCCAGCGATATAAACTACTTTAATTCCAACAAAAATTATTACTGTATAATATTCATTTAAGTCTCTAAAATTGATAAAAGGCTGAATAAATTGAAATAATTTCATACTTAATGTTTTCTCCCTCCCTCACCAAATTTTGTTTAAAGAATCATACGAATTTTAAAACACAGATGACTATTCAGTTCTATTCAATTATTCATATGTTCCTTTCCCTGTACTTTCCTGAATCATTTTAAATTTTAATTTTCCACTTATTTATCCTTCACCATTGACCACAGCTTGCACCTTTAATGCCCTTGTTTCGACACTACTATCTCTCACCATTACAGTTCCCCTTGTATAATTCAAACCTTCTGTAAAGACTGTATATTTTGTTATATTTCTGTATTTTTGATTGTCGGGGTGAATGCGAAAAGATCTGTTTTAAAAACCGAGAATTGTAGAAGGGATTGCTGTACTTTTAAAAAAGCAAGTTATCGGTAGGCAGCACAGTAGTTCCGTGGTTAGCACTGCTGCCTCATGGCACCAGAGATCCAGGTTTGATTTCACACTCAAACAACTGTATGGAGTTTGCACATTCTCCCTGCGTCTGCATGGGTTTCCTCTGGGTTCTCTGGTTTCCTGCCACAGTCCCAAGATGTGCAGGTTAGGTGGATTGGCCAGGCTAAATTACCCAGTGTCCAGGGATGTGTAGGTTAGGTGGATTAGCCATGGGAAATGTAGGGTTACAAGGGGTAGGGTAGGGGAGTGAGTCTGGCTGAAATGCCCTTCAGAAGGTAAGTGTGGACTTGATGGGCCAAATGGCCTTGCTTCTACACTGTAGGGATTCTAAGCCTAAGTATTTATTGTAAGTGTTGTTTGCTCAACCAGACAAACTGGTACCATGAGTGTATATAAATGAAATTCAACCAGCAACAATTAGCTGATTAGTCTGTGGAGCTTTGACCAGTTGTTAATAACAAAGGCCTTCTGCTTACCAACAACGACATAATTGGCTCCTCTAGCTGAAGCTACCAGAACTCCGGAAAGGGAGATTCTGACTTTCTTTTAAAAAGTATGTAAAGCCTTAAAAAAGCCAGTTTATTTTGCCTCGCCAGTTATTGTAAGGTATGGCTTTAAACCAATTCCTCAGAGACTTTATAAGGACTAGTCTGTCTATACCTCCTGCAAGCAAGTGAAAGTACCTGGTAAAGTTAAATTGAGGAGCAACAAATCCTAGTAAACCAGAAGGATCAACTCAGCAAAACCTCGGGACAGGGACCATTGAACTGCCTTCCCACTCCACCCATAATAGCAATGTTTTTCTATGTCTGTCTGGTAATGTGTACTGAGGGAATTTTATGAGGGGTTAGTTAGTTAGAGTTTTAACTAGCAGCATTTACGTCAACAGTTCATAGTTGTTTCCCTGTTTTTGTAATAATAGTCATTTTTGTTGAATACAGAAACTTAGTCCATGCTTTATGTCAACCTGAGTTTATAAAGACAGAAAAATTGACACATCACACTTTTAAGTTCGGAGTTTTGTGCATTTGTTGTTGTATTGGTCTTGTTATCTGAAATCCATTCGAACTGGATCATGTCCTGCTTTACCATATCTCCATTACACAGCCCAACCACTCTACCATTTCAGGATAATCCTAGAGGACAAGGACAACTCACAAATTCTTTACTCTATGTCACATTTTGTCCTCAAAACCTCTTCCTCAACCCCCTTAACATCGTATCTAGCTTCAAGAATGAGTATGCCATTACACTTTTCCATCTCCAAGTTTGAGATTATGTAGATTCTTCATGTACCTCCTAGCCATTGCCCTTAATCCTTCATTTACTTAGGCCTGACCCTCAGAATCTGTGTGCTTCCCTCTCTTTCTCTCCGCCTTGACATGCTGTTCCACAGGACAGATCTCCTGTCTCCTACCAAACAATTATGCCTGAATCCATACCCATGCCAGCGTGATAAGTTGTTGAGGCGGGTACATTAACAACATTTAAAAGGCATTTGGACAAATACATGGATAAGAAAGGCTTAGAAGGATATAGGCCAAGTGCAGGGAAATTGGAAAGTAGTTTCCAAATTATAATGCTTGTATTTTATCTCTACACCACTCAGTCTTGGCTATCAATTGTGATGTGTTTTTATGTTATGTGCAGCAATTAGAACAAGGACCTTTTGTTTAAAGATATACAATACAATAAATACTCCCAATACCATTGCTATGAGTTTGACTGTAGACAAAAGCCGCAATTTTAATTTGGAAGACCAAAACTGCTGCTCATTTTTGAGGGGAGATGTCATTTGGGAATTTTTATATTACTTCAGACACAGTTTTATTTCTCAATGTTTCAGTGAGATGGAAATTTGGGCAGTGAATACTATGATTTCTCAGTGCTATCTATTGAATATGTTACAGATAGTCACTCAAACAATTTTTTTTTTTAAAAACTGCTTTGCAAATCCCTTTCCCCAACCTGGCTTCATGGCCAAAAGGATGTCTTTCTGTGAATATTAAAGACTTACCACTGGATGGCTCCCAATTTTTTTTATGTTTTAATCAAGGTTAGGTGGTAAAAAGGGTAAAAAAAAAAGTCTCCAGTTAGCCTGAGAATATGTTGGCATCAGTGGTAGCAAAGGGATCCCCATAACAGACATCATGTAGCGTGTCCACTGGTTGAACAAATAGAGGACAAACAGCTCAATAGAGCAGTTTTTAGGATGTGTGGCTAAATTTTAAAATAAGTATTAATGTTTTCTTTTTAAAAACTACAGGCAGGGTTTGCATCTTGGATCCACAGAAACAATAAGAATTTCCTTCAGGTTTAATTCTGGTTCAATGAAACAGAGGGAACAAATTTCTCTCAGTTATTCATTTTATCCTTGGAGGGGAGGATGATATTGCATTTATTTATATAGAGTTTGATGGATACAGAGCAGTGCTGTTATGCATGGGATAATCCACCTTGTATTACAAAGCATTAATTCACATGAGAGTTGAGAAAATGCAAGTCTGTTAGTTTTAAATAATGTTTAGGAGCATAAGGATTCTTTGCTTTATCATGTCCTTGGTTTGGTATTTTTGCTTATTCCTGATGGCATGTCACTGAAGGGAGAAATAAAGCCTTTGAATTTGGGTCATACCATCTGACCAGAGATGTAATATATTATAAGATTGTGCCTCATAACTTCACTGCAGTGAAGTAATATTGATATCCTTCTCAGTCTAATGATGTAAGGTGAGAGTGAATCTCTGCTGTTGTCTGTCATATAAATATGCATC